CCCCCCAGAGCAGGTTCTTTTTAATCTTTTCCCGGGGCCGCCAGGGACCAGACCACCAATCCCCATTGGAGGGGGTTGGGCCTGGAAACCGTGGTTGCGCCCTGGGACCCCTCCGCTCCCAGAAAGGCGCCAAGAACGTCAGAACCGGGCCTCCCACCCGTTCACCCTGTGTGTGTGTGTGTGTGTGTGACAAAGGCCTGAAGAGAAGATGTCTTTGTTCTGCCTGATAACCTTCCAGGTGCAGCCCAGTATCTGCACTTCAAACGCCCTCCCTGCCCTTCCTCTGGGGCAGCCAGACTCCCCCCCCCCCCCATAACTCAGATAGAAGTTTTTCTATTTACATCCAAAAAGCCCTTTGTTCCAAGAGGAGCAGAGGTGGAGAAGCGAGACCCATCTCCTTAAAACCCCCAGCCTCAACCGGACTGCGCGCTCAGCCCTCTGCCTCTCTGCTGAGCTGCCCCTGGCCTGGCCAGGTGTACTCTCCACTCAACCATGTAACCCCACTCTCGCCCAGTCCGAGCGACTGGGCACTCTCAGGTCCTGTCTGAAGAGGTGCCCATCCGTTCTTGCAGATGTCCCTTCCCTAATAAACCTTGCTATTTGCTTTTCACTCTCTCTCTCACGCCTGAATTCTTGCAGGAAGACAAGAGCGGTGCCATTCTCTGGGGGCTAGAGCTTAGGATGTAAATCAGGGTGTAGAGCGCGCCATAGATAAAACTGCCTTTTCCTAACACACACCCGGGAACTCCTCTGCACGTCTCATTGCAGGTCAGCATTCCCTTCCTGGAGAGCCCTGTGGCAGGTTCAGAAATTCCCCCCAAGCCCCCTGTCCCTCACATCAGTCCTCGGGGCTGCGGGCGGAGGGGAATTCTGTCCTCATTCCCAGCCACCCCGCCAGGCTGGCCCCTTTACCGTCTGTCTCCCCACACTTTGACATTCCTCATTTCTTCCAAGCACATCCTGCCTGGACACAAGCCTGGTCTCAAGCTTCGTGTGTTCGAGAGTAAGGGCCCCACGGAAGGCAGTCGGTGAGCACTCTGAACTGAACTGACCTGAGAGGAGAGAGTGCCTGGGGTCCTGTCAGGCCAAGGCCAAGGAGGTGAAAGTCAACCAAAGCAGCGGCCACTGCGTGGAACAAGAGCCGGACCGTTCCACGTGGGCCCGTCTGGCTGATCTGCACACCACGCCCTGTGTCCCCAGAGCAGTCAGAGAGCTGCAGGCCGTGGGAGGGGCCGGCCTGAGCCCAGAGCAGCGCACTAGCAAGGGCAGTGCCTTCCAGGACCAGCTTCCCCTGACAGGGGGTTTGCATCGCTGGGCAGAGCCCTGGCCCCTCTGCGGCCCTCAGCTCTGGGCCTCCCCCATGCCCCCCCCCCCACCTCCACGGACAACCACGAATCTCTGGCATTTGGGCTTCACCCTGGACAGAGGCCTTTATCCAGGCCCTGCCTAAGGTTGTGGGTCTGTCAGGCTTCGCGGCTTCTGGGGGTCCTGTTGCAGGCATCGGGGAAGAGGGGTGACCTGTTCACCTACCTGAATTACCACACTGAAGAGAATCCCCGGACCATGTTGCAGAATTCTAATCTGGTAACCGAGTTCTACGCTTTTCCGCATCTGGTCAGCGGCCACTTCTTTTACTTGGGCGTGTTGGGAAGAAAAAACTTCCCTCTTCCAACGTGGGTCCAGCCCTGTGCCGGGGCCTGCATACTAGCCAACACCACCCACATCACCAATGGGCGTGTGTGTGTGTGTGTGTGTGTGTTTCCTAAAGGAACTGTTTATTTAAGGAGTACAAATTTCGTAAGGGCAACTTTAGGAATATAGTCGATCCTCCCACTATACTTGCCCTCCCACCCACCTCCTCCCTCTCCCATTCCCAGGCCCATTCTCCATTAAGAAAAAAAACAACAAAAAACCTATTCCTGGACAGTCAAGACAAGGGCTGTTCAAGTCATTGCTTCTCCAAGTGTCTATTTCAGTCCTACAGGTATCCTTTTAGGCGCTCCATTGGTTATCACAGATCAGGGAGAACCTGTGGTATCTGTTAGTAAAATGGCGCTCTCTTATCTGTGGCGCGATCTATGCCGGACACCATCCAAAGCTATGGCCCCCACCACAGCTGCTGGAAGTCAGGTGACCACAAGTCCCTACCACCGGGGTCAGCTCCACCCCGACCCTAGGGGATTCGCTGCTCCTACTTCCCTGCCCGCCCCCGGGGTCTTGAGCCTCCCTCTCTCGTGCTCTCTCTCTCTCTCTCTCTCCTCTCTCTCTCTCAGCTCTCACCCTCGCGCCCTCTCCCCCACCCGACTGTAAACCTTTCCGGTGGCCGGTGTGTCTGTGGCGGCCTCACGATTTGTCCCTTTGGGACTGGCTTATTTAAGCACGATGTTTTCCAGATTCATGCATTTCGTTGCAAACGCGGGATTGGGTTTTTTTAATTTTTCTTTTGCCGCTGTGTAGTATTCCGTAGACTGCACCTGCGGGCGGGTTTCTGCGGTCTCAGCAGGGCAGTGCGGGAGCTTCCTCCTGGCGCTGTGATGCGAAGGCGGGGTCGCCCAGGTCCCGGGGCCGGGGAATACGCGGGGAACCGTCGGCCGCGTGGAGGGGCGGGAGTAGGCGGCGGGCTCAGGGCGCTGCGCTTCTCCTAAAAATCATGTGTGTGCCGCGCCGGGGGCCGAGCAGAACCCGTCCAGCCCGGGCCGCGTCCGGCAGGCCCCTCGGCGACTTCTCGCTGTCACGCTGTGCGCAGGAACCGGTCAAGAAGTGGCTGTCCAAAAACACCGTGAGGTGGCCAAAGAACATAATACAGATAATAATAATAATAATAACAATAACAATAAACAACAGAGAAACGAAGCGGGGGCGTGGGAAGGCCGCTCCCTGGGGGGCTCGGAGGGGCGCGGCGGCCGTCGGGGCTCCGCGGAAGGCGGCTCCCTCGCCCCGGGGCCGCGCGCCCTGCTGGGGCGGAGGCGCTGGCCGGGGTCGGCTCCCCCCGGCCCACACGCGCGTCACGCGCGCCGGAGCCCCGACGTCGGTTTCACTTCCTCTTCGCGCGGGGCTGGGGGACTCTGGCCCCGCCGAGCCCGGAGCCGCGGCACGCAGCGCCGGCGGCCGCCCGCCCGGGGCGCGCGCGGACCCTCCGCCCGCCCGGCGGCCCCTGGAGGGACCCGCGTCGGGGAGATCCCGCCTCCAGCCGAGACGGAAACCGAAACCGCCGGCTCGCCTGGCGGCCCCGCCCGCCCTCAGGACCCTGGTCAGTTTCGATTCTCGGCGCAGCCTGCGAGCCGGCGAGCGCGCGCCATGGCGGACCCCGGGGTGTGCTGCTTCATCACCAAAATCCTGTGCGCCCACGGCGGCCGCCTGGCGCTGGACGCGCTGCTCCAGGAGATCGGGCTCCCCAAGGCGCAGCTGTGCCACGAGCTGGAGGCGGCCGGCCTCGAGCGCTTCGTGGTGCTGGAGACGGGCGGCAAGGACGGGGTGTCCTGCTCCGTGGTGGCCACCACTCCCGTCCGAATCTGCCGTCGCAAGCACTGCGAGAGGCCCTGCGGGAAGCTGCACCTGTGCAAGCTCAACGTGTTGGGCCGCTGCCACTACTCGCAGGCGGAGCGGTGAGTGCCTCCGGCGTCCCCAGGCCCCTTCCCCCGCGGCCGAGGCGAGGCTCCCCGTCCGTGCCCCCGCGCGCTGCGCCCTTCGGGGAAGCCGGCCGCGGGCGCGGGCCTGGGCTCTGCCGTCGCGGGTCTTCCTCCGCCGCCTTCGCCCCAGACGTGCGGCCGGCACCCGGCCCCGCGCGCCTCAGGCTGCGACCTGCGCCCCGGCCGTCCCCACTTGGCTCCCCGCGGCCGGAGTGGGGTCCTCCAGGGTCAGCGGAGGTGCGCGGGGTCGCCGGCGGGGCGCTCGGAGCGGCGGTCGGCGCGCTGCGCGGCCCCAGCCCCGGCTGCGTCCGGCGTCCCTCCGGCCCTCTGCGGCCTCCCGCCTGCCTCCCTGCCCCGGCGCGCACCTGCGGAGTTCGGAACGGGTCCCTCCCGCCGGACTGCTGGTTTTTCCTGTTGGAGGACTTGTCGCCAACATGGTGCAGCCCGGGCCCCTCGCCTCCCGTGCGTGTTACGGAGGAGGAGGTTTTTACAGGTTGAGGTAGATCATGTTTTGAAAATGATGTGTTTAGAGCAAAAGCTGTTTCGGTTCGCCCTGCAACTTTATTTACTTTTACTTATTAGAGAGGTAGGGTTGCAGAGAGAGAGGTCTTCCGTTCACTGGTTCACTCCCCAGATGGCCGCAAAGCCGGAGCCAGGAGCTTCCCCCGGGTCTCCCACGCGGGTGCAGGGCCCCAAGGACTTGGGCCATCCTCCGCTGCTTCCCCATCGCCCCGTAACTTCAACGAAAAGCGCTTGAATGTGTTCCCTTACATAAATGTTTATTGTTTCAACACTTTGGGAGTCTGAGGTCAGAAAGTTGTGTGTCTAGACGGAGTCATCTAAATCGCTCAACTGAAGACACGGCTAAGGAGGGTAGAGGTCGGAGAGCGGGATAACAGGGAACAACATTCTAGTACATTCTAGCACCATATTGAAGAACAACGAGGTTGGAAGGCGTTCTTTTTAATTTTCTGTTCTCTGTTCTGTTATGAAAAATTCTTAGTTAACTGGGGTTGACTTAATTTTAAACTATCTCTTTTTAAAAGATTTATTTATTGGGAGTGAGTAAAGCTGCTGCCTTCGACCTTGGCAAATATGCCTGGGCAAGCAATGGGGACATGGCCCAACTGCTTGGGCCCCTGCACCTGCGTGGGATTCCCGGAAGAAGCTCCTGGCTCTTGGCCCCAGCCTGGCCCCGGTCCTGGCCATTGTACCCTCTTGGGGAGTGGGCCAGCGGATAGTAGATCTCTCTCTCTGTGTCTCTCTCCCCTCTCTGTAACTCTGCCTCTCAACTAAATAAAATAAACCTTAAAAAAGAGATAATTTTATTATTTGAAAGGCAGAGTTGGAGAGAGAGGCAGACACAGAGATCTTCATCCACGGATTCACTCTAATGGCCTCAACAGCTGAGGCTGAGCCAGGCGGAATCCAGGAGCCTGTACTCTGGGTCTCCCACGTGAGCAGCAGGGGCCCAAGTGCCTGGCCGCCCCTTGGGGCTTTCCCAGGCACATAAGCTGGAAGCTAGATCAGAAGTGGAGCAGACGGTACTCAAACCAGTGCTCACATTTGATGGCGCCTTCAGGTGCGGCCTAACTCTGAGCCACAGCACTGGCCCCTAAGCACTATCTTCTTATTTTTAAAGATTTTTACTCAGTGTTTCCAGTGCAGTCAAAAGCAGAGGCAAGAGAATAGTGAACCTCGGCGTACCCACTGTTTGGATTCAGTAGTTCTCAAAGTGTGACAGTCTTGTGTCCTGTGTTCTGTCTTTCCCAGCGCCTACATGTAACTCCGGGTGCTGTTCTAAGGCAAATTCCAGCTATCGTTTATAAGCATCTCATTATCTCCAGAAGATAAGGTCTTTACTTCGTTTATACAACCACAGAATGATTGCATTTTTAAAATAGATTACAATTTTAATATTCGTGACTGTGTTATAAATACAACTTGCATTTTCAGGAAAAACCTATGCTACAAAACCTATAATTGTTTCAATTAGCTATATGCACTATGTTTGGAAATTTTAGTTTTATGATTTTTATTATGGTAGCTTTAATTTTTTGTCCTGGTTTGAAACATCAAAACTATTTTATTTTATTTTTTTAAAGATTTATTTTATTTATTTGAAAGGCAGATTTACAGAGAGAGTGAGAGACACAGAGAGATCTTCCATCTTCTCGTTTGCTCCCTGAATGGTCAAAATGGCCAGAGCTCGGCCAGGCTAGAGCCAGGAGCCAGGAGCTTCTTCCAGGTGCCACGTGGGTGCAGGGTCCAAACACTTGGGCCATCTTCCACTGCTTTCCCAGGTGCATTAGCAGGGAGCTGGATTGGAAGTGTAGCTGCTGGGACTTGAACCGGTGCCCATACGGAATGCCAGCCCTGCAGGTGGCGGGTTAACCCAGTATACCACAGTGCCGGCCCCAAAACTACATTAAACTCATCTATTGGGATGTTCACCTGGAGCTTTTCTGTATTTTAAAAGAGTGAATGTAATGCAGGAATTGTTTGATCTATGCAAGTTTGGATGGGCCCTCCAGAGGGCTTACTCAAGTCTGATTTCTTACACGTACTGGTCTATACACATTTTAAGTTTATTTTTATGTCACTTTTTAATTTTGGAGTCACAAAGTTTAAAGCATTCTTATTTATTTATTTGAGAGACGTGTCATCCGCTGGTTCCAGGCAGCTGGAATCAGGAGCTGGCGGGAGACACGGAACCGGGAACTCCAATAAGGGATGAAGACATCCTGCCGGTGTCCCCTCGGCTGAGTGTCTTCCCCAAAATTACCAATTTTCATGCTTTAACGTATAGAGTATTCTAATAAGGACCTCCAGGAATTTTTTTTTTTGCCTCGGAGGCTATCATGTGTTTTTTTCTCCCCAAATATGTTTTTAAAAATACTCTTCCTTAGCAGCTTTACAAACCTTTATCTTCCCACCTGTGACACTCGAGAAGTGAAGGTCCTTTTGTGTGTATCGTGTGTTGTTGGGGTCTCTTAGCCGATCGACTCCCATAACAAGGCTTTATTCGGACCAGTGAACTCTCCTTTGTTATATGCGGTTGAGTTGCATTTTTTTGCTAAGCTTAAAATAAAAATTTTCCTTGTAGAGTTATTATTATTGTGTTTATTTTAAAATGTATTTAGTTGCATGCATTTCATAACCACATTAGGAACACAGTAATTCTTCCCCCGTACCCACCTTCCCACCCTTCTTCCCTCTCCTATTACCTGTCCTGTTTTTCACTAAGATCTGTTTTCACTTAACGTTATATACAGCGGATTATAGTTATTATTTATGGAATGAATTTCTATCTTGTAGTTCCTCTCTTTTGCAATGCTTCTTGTGATATAGTTTGCTCAACAAAAGGAGTTGCTTTGGTGTTGGAAAATTATTCGTTTCGGTGCATTGGTTTGTATGTTTCTGTTTGCTTTGCTGAGCGCGTGCCCACACATGGAGCGCAAATCCCCGTTCTGACACAAACAATAGCTGCCCTCTGTTGAACAAACGACTGCGAAGCAAGCACCGTGGCGAGCAGGGACCAGCGCCAGGCGGCTTCCTTGACGGCAGCTCTGTGGAGTGAGATCTGGCAGCCATGCAAGTGGTTCTTTTTGCACGCGTGATTTCTGTCGAACTGTTTTTTTTTTTTTTTTTTTTGACAGGCAGAGTGGACAGTGAGAGAGAGAGACAGAGAGAAAGGTCTTCCTTTGCCGTTGGTTCACCCTCCAATGGCCGCCGTGGCCGGCGCGCTGCGGCCGGCGCAGCGCGCTGATCCGATGGCAGGAGCCAGGAGCCAGGAGCCAGGAGCCAGGTGCTTTTCCTGGTCTCCCATGGGGTGCAGGGCCCAAGCACCTGGGCCATCCTCCACTGCACTCCCTGGCCACAGCAGAGAGCTGGCCTGGAAGAGGGGCAACCGGGACAGAATCCGGCGCCCTGATCGGGGCTAGAACCTGGTGTGCCGGCGCCGCTAGGCGGAGGATTAGCCTAGTGAGCCGCGGCGCCAGCCTCTGTCGAACTGTTAAAGCAGGCCTTCCGAGGGCCTTCGCCTTGCTCTGCGGTCTCTGCCACCGTGGGTGTCTCCTCTGGGCTCTCCCATTCTTCTGCCCTTCCCTGCTGTTTGGATGCAACTTTGGGAGGGGTGGGTGCATGGGAAGGAAGCCAGTTGATTATTTCATTAATTGAAAAAAAAAAGCCCTCAGAAGCATGAAAAAAAGCCCTCAGAAGCATGAATGATAGAATAAGCCTCAGAATGTATATATTATCAATAAACAAGCAGTATCAAATAAAAGGACATTCGGTGAGTTTATAACTCACCACATAGAATGAATAAAGGTTTATAGTTTTCATTTTTGCTTATCTTATTTTAAGATTTTATTTCTTTGAGAGGTAGTTACAGATACAGAGAGGGAGATTCAGAGAGAGGTCTTCCATTTGCTGGTTCACTCCCCACATGGCCACAGTGGCTGGGGCTGAGCTGATCTGAAGTCAGGAGCCAGGAGCTTCTTCTGGGTCTCCCATGCCGGTGCAGGGGCCCAAGGACTTGGGCCATCTTCTGCTGCTTTCCCAGACCATAGCAGAGAGCTGGAGTGGAAGAGGAGCGGCTGGGACTCGAACCGGCACCCAAATGGGATGCCAGCGGTGCAGGCAGAGGATTAACCTGCTGTGCCACAGTGCTGGCCCCTTTGCTCATCTTTTGAAATAACATAAACAATCATAATGGGCCCCAGACATTTTCTTTTTTTTTTTTTTGACAGGCAGAGTGGACAGTGAGAGAGAGAGACAGAGAGAAAGGTCTTCCTTTGCCGTTGGTTCACCCTCCAATGGCCGCCGCGGCCGGCGCACCGCGCTGATCCGATGGCAGGAGCCAGGAGCCAGGTGCTTCTCCTGGTCTCCCATGGGGTGCAGGGCCCAAGCACCTGGGCCATCCTCCACTGCACTCCCTGGCCACAGCAGAGTGCTGGCCTGGAAGAGGGGCAACC